TCACAGCGCAGAGATTTTGGGGAGAAACAAAGGTGGCTTCCTACCACAGCAATGACCTCAGAAGTGTTCAAATGGACTGGAGCTGTGGCTTGTGGGTGCCTGTCTATTGCTACTGTTGATATACAGGCAGACCTCAACTTAAAACATTTCGAGTTACAACATTTCACTTACATTTATAATTTGACACCGTTTCAACTTTACAATGCTAGTTTCGGCTTACAACACTTGATCTGATGCGATGCCACACCAGTGAACAAGTTCACTACATTGCTCATCTCCCTGGATAACATCTGTCCAAACTTCCTTGGACACTTTCTTTAGGAAAGCAGACAAGACGCCAGAAGAACCTGCAGCCAAGACTCCTGAGAAGACTCCAGCCAAGAGTCCTTCAAAAAGTCCAGCAAAGTCACCTCAAAGAAGTCCTTCTAAATCAATATGATTGCTATTTACAATAGAAATATATTAATGTAGCTATATTACTCCTCTATAATTGATCAAGTACAAAATTCTTGGTTATTTTTGGTGACAATAAGGTATCTGGCCTTGGTTCAGGAACCAATCCCCCATTTATAACATTGTTTCTTATAAGAAAATTAGTTCCCAGTTACAACGTTTCAACTTAAGACTTTCAGGAACCAATTGTGTTGTATGTCAGAGAACTGCCTGTATAACTCACTGTTAAGGTTTTTGAGGGAGGCTGCATGTTAAACGAAGCTAAACTACGTGTTGTTTGCAGGCAGAGACAGACACAGGCATGGGTGAACTGGGTGCTCACCCAGGGCCCACACAGAAAGGAGGCCCAAAAACAGTGAAAATAATTATTATCATTATCTCTAGCAAAGGGGGGGCCAATACTAAAAGTCTGCTCAGGGTCGCCATAAGTCTAGGTACGATGCTGCTTGCAGGGATTGGTTGGAGTTAGAAAACTTTGTTGAGTGCTGGAGTATATTAATGGTGATTTTTGCAACATGGAAGGGGCAAGGAACACAGGTTTCCTTTTAATTTATTTCCCGGTTTTTGTGCTTCTCTTCCATGAAACATGTCCTACTGCTACCTTAACTGTTCCCAAAGGCAGTTCATGTTTGGCAACAGCTGTACATTTACTCCTGGTTCCTAATTACAAATGAAATTCAGCCCTTTCCACAAAACGGGTTTGGAAAAGGCCGCCTCCTCACCTTTTTCCTTCTGGCCTCCTAAAGCCTGAGATGATTGATTTAGTCAGGCCCTGCCTGGGCCCTTTTCACTAGTACAAGGCAGGTGGGGAGCTGGCATCGGTTGGTGGGGGTTGGTGGGCTTGAGGGGGCTCTGGCAGAAGCTGACGGGTGCCACGCCTGAGGGGCGCACTCAGCCCGGCGCGATGACGTGAGCGCGAGCTCGCCCAGCCCCTAGCTCTAAACTGTGCAACTGCTCCCGGGAGGTGATAGTGTGGCTTCGCGCATGCGCACAGCGGACGCGCCGGGGGCACTCGCGGCAACGCAAGGGAACGGTCGTTGCGACCTTGGGCGTGGTGCAGAATGTGACGCCAGAGGCGCGAGGCGATGACGAAGGCGGAAGTAGGGCAAGGAATGCGGGGGAGCTGTTAGGCTGTTTTTTTATTCCCCTTTCCCTTCCGCCACCGGCTGCGGCTCCTACATGGAGGTAAAGGGAGGCGGGATCGCGGCGGTAACAGCAACAACGGAGCCCCTCGGCTGGGCGGGAGCCCCCCGTCTCTGTCGGGGGCTCTGGAGTAGGGGTCGGCGCGTGAGGGTCGATGCGTGACGTGGGGTGAGCCCCTCTCCCCACACGCACACGTCTCCGGTTCATACCCCATAGGGCTCGACCACTTGGCAGCGGAGGGGGCGAGATTTCAACCGGGGATGGAGGGAGAAAGAAGGTACCACTTGGGGGGTTGGAATGTTCCACCCGGGAATGGGGTCGGGAGGAAGGTACCACGGGGGAGGAATGTTCCACCCAGAGATGGAGGGAAAAGGAAGGCGCCATCTGATTGGTGGAGGGAGAAGGAAGGCGCTACCTGGCCTGTAGTCAGCTGGGCACAGACTATTGGGGTGGGGAGGAGAGGCCTTCTTCACCACAGCTTTGCTCCCTGGGCTCTGGTCAGCCCAGGTGGCCTCTACCCCAGTGCTTTGTACCAGGCTGACCACAGGCAGGGTGGCTTCTCCCCCACCCCCAAATACAGCATTGGGTGTGATCTGAAGACTGCGTTAGAGCTGCCACTTCCTGAGTCAGCCCATGGGCCTGCCTTGCCCACTACAGCCCTGCATCACCCAGGGCCCCATCACCCCATTACACGTATCATGCTTGACTGGCAAATTGCACTGCCAACTTAGCCCAGCCATGTGTGCAAAGTGTTGCCACTAGCTCACCTCAGAAAGCCCATCCCACTGTAACGTGAGAGGGGAAAATGTGCCGTAACATCCTAGCTGGTGACCAGCTTTCATTTCCGCATGTAGCAGGGAACATGGCCGGGGCGGATCCAGAGCATGTTGGATTCCTGCTTCAGTCGCTCAGCAGCTGCGTGGAAGGAGCCTGGCTTGCCTGAGTGGCCCTACCCAACCTGGCAATCCATCTGGCCAGGAAGAAGGCTCTGGCTGGAGGACCTATTTCTGGTCCATTCACTGCCCTGGTCCTATTCCTGCGCAGCGTCCACTGGCTCCTTGAACTTGTTTGAGGGCCAACGGGCACAGGCTGGCATGCTCTGCTTGGTGTCCCCTCAGTGCACTTGTTTTAATCCTATGACATTCACTCCTAACTCTGTTTGGTCCTTTAGTTGTCCCACGTGATCAGTGATGTCCTCTAAGTTAGCCCTCTTTGTCAAGGGTGGTTGATAGCTCTACTTGGTGGGCTTTGGCCTACATTCCTGAATGGCATCTCAAAAGGCCTGACCTGCCCAAGGGGTCCTGACCTGCCTGCAATCTGTGTGGCTGGGCTGGGCATTCCCTTTGTAGAAGAAGGCTGGAAAAGCAAAACAGTAAAGAGAATACTCTGAGAAAAAGGGCAGGTGGGGAGAGTAAAAGGGGGTGGGGTCAGGTTAAGTGCAGGGTAAAACACTGCTGCTTGCTGCTCTAGGGAAAGAAAGTCCCATCTCTTCCCTGCTCCTCCCACCAGGTGGCTCAGCCAGCACAGTAAATTGCTGGCACCAAAGCCAGCAAGGAACAGGGGGTAGCTGGGCTCCTGGGCATATAACGCAGAACTGACATGTTGGGGAATAATAGAGACTTGGCAGGATATCCCGCATGACTGGAGCGCTGTCATGGCTGGGTACAAACTGTTCAGGAACAGCAGGCAGGAGAGAAGAGGAGGAAGCGTTGCACTTAATGTGAAAGAGCCACATGATTGCTCAGAGCTCTGGTATGAAACTGGAGATAAGCCTGTTGAACGTGGGGGTGCCCAGATAAAGATTTTTTTGGCTGATACCAATAACTAATTATTAACCAGCTATATCGGCTGATACTGATCCGATTGCTGATATGCATCCTGGTAGCTTGGAGAGCATCATCCAACTGGTAAGTCTTTGGGGGGAGGGGAAACAAGGCCCCCACAGTAAGGGAGTGGGGCTGGGAGAGGCGCTGAACAGCTGGGGTGGAGCGCGGGATGGAGCCGCAGCATGTCTGGTGCAGGGGAAGGGCAGCTTCTGTCACTGCATGCACTGCCAGGGGAGGCATGGAGGGCATGTGCCCCCTAGATCTGTGTGTGGAGTGAGGGCAGGCTGCTGCTGTGTGCTTTAGGCCGAAGGTTGTGCCTCCCTCTTCCCACTGGGGGTGGCCTGGGCCAGGGCTGCACTCAGGCAAGGTGGTTCAGGTGGCGTTGGGAGCGGGATCATGGGGGAGCTAGAGCCACCCAAAATTTGCCATAACCCCCCTCCCAGTGCTGCTGCTGCCTACCCAACCTCACCTGGCCTGAGTGCAGCCGCTGGGAAGAGCCCAGCATAGCCTTCAGCTCAATCCTACAGCAGCAACCCACCCTCACCCCACACACAGATCTGGGGGCACATGCCTCCCCCGGGGGTACGTACAACAGAGGGAGCCATGCCCCCCCCTCTCCTGGACGAGCCACTGACTCTTTCCCTAACCCTGCCCTACCGTGGCTAGGCAATGGCTATCCCACTCCCTCCCTCACTGTGGTGGCCTTGATCAGCCCCCTCCACACCCTTTCCTCCCAACGCCCCACCCCGACTTACCTGCAGGATGCTGCTCTCCAAGCTGTTGCCGCGTGCGTGCTGCAGCTACATGCATGCACATAGCATATATTGGTGACATTATTGGCCCCATCAGCCAAAAAAAGGCTGATTGCCAATAATGTCAGTTTTCCTTTTATCAGTGCCAATATGATATGAACCAATGTATTGGTGCTCCTCTAATTGAAAGTCTTTGGGTTAGGGTCAGAGAGGAGAGCAACAATGGTGTTGTCGTGGTGAGTGTGTGTTATAGACCACCAGATCAGGAGGAAGAGGTGAATGAGGTCTTCTTCAAACAGTTAGCAGAAGTTTCCTTATCACAGGCCCTAGTTCTCATGGTGGACTTCAGTCAACCTGACTTCTGCTGGGAAGGCAATACACCTGTCATAGACAATCCAGGAAGTTTTTTGAGTGTTGGGGACAACTTCCTGGTGCAAGTGCTGGAAAGGTTAACTAGAGGCTATGCTTTCCTTGATCTGCTGACAAACAGGGAAGAATTGGTGGGCAGTGTAAAAGTGGATGGTAGTTTGGGTAGTAACACCCACAAGAAGACTGAGTTCAGGATCCTGAGGAAAGGAAGAATGGACATCAGCAGTGTAAGGACCCTGGACTTCAGGAAAGCAGACTTCAACTCACTCAGGGAATTGATGGACAGGATCTTTTGAGGGGCCAGTCTGAGAGGGAAAGGAATCCAGGAGTGTTGTTTGTGCTTTTAAAGAAACCTTACTGAGGATGCAGAAAAGAACCATCCCAAAGTACAGGAAGACTAGCAAGTATGGCAGAAGCCCATCTTGACTTGGCAGGGAACTCTTCAGTGAGCTAAAACACAAAAAAGAAGCTTACAAGAAGTGGAAACTTGGACAAATAACTAGGGAGCAATATATGAGTATTGCTCTGGCATGCAGGGATGAAATCAGGAAGGCCAAAGCATAGTTGGAGTTGCAGCTAATAAGGGACATGAAGGGCAACAAGAAGAGTTTCGACAACTATGTTAGCAACAAGAGGAAGATCAGGGAAAGTGTGGGTCCCTTACTGAATGGGGGAGGCAGCCTACTGACAGATGATGCAGAAAAGGCTGAAGTATTCAATGCCTTCTTACTTCATTCTTCACAGATAAGGTCAGCTCCCAGACTACTGCACCTGGCAGCGCCATTTGGGGAAAAAATAAGTAGTCATCTGGCAAAAAAACAGGTTAGGGACTATTTAGAAAAGCTGGACATGCATATGCTTTTTAAGGTGTGAGACCAGAATAGGGCACAAAATTAAAAGTGTGGGTGCCCCATGGATTTATAAAGGGGCATAACGATACTTTCTGTTTTGTTAGTTGCTAAGGAGAAATGGCAGCAGTGTGGATGCAGCTTCCAGCTGCTTGTTCCTGGTGCAGCTCCCCACTGTTTGGAAGCTGTGCCTGTGCTGCAGCCAGGAAGCAAGAAGCAGCAGTGATATAGGCACAGCTCCAAGGTGCTTGGCCCCAGTGCAGATGCAATTTGAAAAGATGCAAAGAAAAATCCAAAGGAAGTTTCAAATCACTTACCCATTCATTTCAAATAGAAAATATAATTCTGTTGCAATACGTATACTTTCTAGCTGTATCTGTTAAATTCTGAAATTGTATTTCAGAATGTCTGACAGCTCACTAGAACTTCCTTGAAAACTATTTAGAACTGACCTACTGATGTCAAAACCACTGCATAGAACTGTGGCTTTAGAGCAAAAACTTCCTTATGCAATTTGCATTGTAACTGCTTAATGCTGCCTATATTGTAACTGCTTAATTCTGCCTACTGATTTTCATAGACACTAAATAGTATCTTAAAATGTCCAGTATTTAAGTAGTGTAAAAGTTGGTTGACTATGCTGAGATTTTGTTTATTGCAATTGCACTATTGCATACCACAGAAAACTATCTCAGTACTATCCATAGAAATTGGCAGAGTATATATTCGTTGTTATACCTGATCTGATGTATCAAGAGTCTGGTAACCTTCCCAGTGGTATCTCTGTGGTATGCGAGTTATTTCTGTTATATAAGCTAGCCTTTTGAAACGTTTCAGAGGTGCTTCAAAACCGCTTGAAATGTTTCAAAATGTTGTGTCTTCTTTCATGTGTGTTTGGTTACATGGAGGTTTGTGGTGAGATTTAGGAAGTGAGGTTGTTGTTGCCTTTGCCTTTGATCTGTATGTGAGCTAATGGTCTGATTTTGGCCTTTTGTCATGAAACCTGCATCAGCTGTTCTAAGTTTCCCTCCAGTGATTGTCCCAACTACACAGTATTCCAGATTCAGTTCAAGATTTCTTTAAATAAAATCAGAGGTTTTCCAATGCAAGTATTCCTATTCCAAGTATTTTCCTATGCCTTTACTTGACTTCTGAATATATAACAACACCTACTCTTTGTGCTTTCAATGCCTGGTGAAAATTAGATCTTTCAAACCCAGCCCAAGAGGTAGTAAACCTGGTTGAATCCTGTTTGGAAAATTCCCTATAAAAGCATTGTTCATTTAAAATATTCTTCTCCACTTAAGTTTCCATTTATCTGTATCTTCAAATCGAGATCGTTAAGTCACATTTTAACATCATTTTAAAACAAAATAAATAGGTTTTGTTTCCATAATAAACAAAACAAAAACATAATATTGACTCTGTGTTATGAGATTTATTATGAAACCATCCAGATAGAGCTCTCTCTCATCTTATATCTGAGCTCAGCTCTTATGGGGCTTCTGCCTTTTTGGGGGTTTTTTGGTTTTTTTTAAAAAAAAAACTACTTATTGAGCAGTTAATTACTGTCATTTATAACAGATTTAGCTAGTCCCAAGAGTTGTATAATAAAAATGTCCTTTCTGCCATTGTTTTTCTTCAGGTACAAGATGCTGGGCAAGATATGGTGGCTTCCCCTGCTACACCAGGAACAGGCAAATCAAAGGTATACTATTTTACAAACATAATTAATTTGGACAGCAGTAATTTGCATTCATACAACCAACAGTAGCCACTACTGCTAGTGGGAAGACTCAGTAGGGAGTAATTTAAAGGGTACCTCTGACTAGTCTGTTTTTGCAGAAGTGGAATTACATTATTTAAACTTGGGACCTTGACTGCTGAGGAGGAATTCTTCTGAATTCATTGGCTGTTATCATTACTTGGAGCACATGTACTAACCTTTTAGTGGCATCCAGTTCAAACAATGAGCATTTTATTTCCTTATGTACATTCATATCTCTATGTAAATATACTGCCCACTTGTAAAACAACGTTAAGTCAGCATGCCAGATTCAAGAACATTACACAATTTACATTATGCTCAAAATGCCTCCATTATTTTTAACTTGGCTCATATTCGCTTGTCTAAAGAATTTTAACTCATCTTCCCAGAATGCTGACCCTTAAGGCTTTGAGGTCTATATTTTGAATGGGTATTAACCACTTAAGCCCCTTCTTAAATTGTAAAATTATATGTAGACTTACTTTTTTTTGACATTGTACAGTTATGTTGTGATACCAGCATAGGGGAAGGCATGTTACTTGTCCTACATTTTAACTTTTTGGAAGTCAGTTAAATTTTCTCTTTGCAGTTTAGTAATCTTGCAAGTTAGAAATGTAACAAAGCATGCTTTCCCTATGTTGTACAGCTGGATACATTACCCAAAGAAGATCTCATCAAATTTGCAAAGAAGCAAATGATGCTTATACAGAAAGTGAAGTCAAGATGTGCAGGTAACATGGGTTTAGTTGACTGTTCAAGACCTTTTTAGAACCTGAAAAATATCAGTGTGATGTATTAGCTAAATAATAATATTTTGTGTTACCCTATTAGACACCTGGTTTAGTATCCAAGTGAATACCTAATTTTTCAGTTCCTCATTCCCTCCCATTTTCTTTACTCCTGGGAAAGGTTTGAGGTAGATGTCCCAGAATGGAGGAAAGACAAGAAGCACTGCATTGATTTGATATTTAATATTTCTACCTGAGCAGACAAGGAGGAGTGATGGGAGAAAACATTTTGATCAAGCTGGTAATTGAACGGTATCCTGGAGTGGGGCTTATCACTGTATATTTGTTCCTGGTGGTAGTAACAAGTAAGAAAAGGCAGGGTGGAAACTTCTAATAGAAACTGGCAGTTGCCAGCTACTCTCAGTCCATGTGATGGATGTTGGGTATCTTCTGCCTTTTGTGATTGTTCCATTTTGCTCACAGTTGTTCTCCTGATCCTGGTGGAGGAGTTCTGACAACTACATACAAGCTGTTTATATTTATTGGCTTTAGTATACTGTAACACAATGGCAGTTGTCATTCAGCATAGGATCTAGCTTCTTTGCTTGAGCTGATTTTTCTCATACTAGATGTGTGCACAGCCATTGAATAATAACGTGCAAATGCAATGTCTGGCTTCCCACTTTCAGTTTGCATGCTTTCTGTTTTTTCTAGGTACTAATAGATTTTATTCTATAATTGTTGTACAACCCTACTGCAAAGTATGATAATATTCTTAAAAAATCGTCGTACAACCCTATTGCAGAGTATGATAGTATCTTAAAAAATGTATAGACACTAGGGGTGCACCGATAGAGACTTTGGGGGCTTATACTGATTCAATTTCCAATACAGCTGTGTTCAGCTAGTAAGTCTGTTGTGGTGGAAGGGCCATGGAGAAGGCAGATCAACACCCCACGCAGTGAGGGTGGAAGAGGGACAGACATTGCCCAGCTGGGCAGGGTGCAGGACAGAGCCACGGCTCGGAAGGGGGAAGGGCATGGGGCAGCTTCTGCCACTGCATGCACCCCAAGAAGACACGGCATGTGCCCCCTGGATCTGCGTGGGGTAGGTGGGCTACAGCTGCAGGCTACAGCCGGGGTTGTGCTGGGCTCTTCTTGGCGGGGGCTGGGTTTTGGGTGAGCGGTGGTGGTGCTGGGAGGGGGCTAAGTTGGGGGGCCTGCAGCCACCCCGAATTTCACCATAGCTTCCCCTCCAGGTGGATGGCAGCAGTGCTGGGAAGGGGGGTTGGGGAAGCTACTGTGAAATTTGAGGTGCCTGCAGCGCACCCCTTTCCCCTTCCCCCCTCCCATAGCCCCCTCCCAGTGCTGCTGCTGCCTGTCCCAAGCCCAGCCCCCTTAGAGAAGAGCCCAGTGCAACCCCAGTTCCATCCCACAGCTGCAGCCCACCCACCCCACCCTGCGCAGATCCAGGGGACACCTGCCCTGCACCCCCGTGGATATGCTGCGGCTCCATCCTGTGTCCCACCACATCCCGGCTGCACCTCTAGTAGACACTTAGCTCAGATTGCTTCTTTAAAAAAAATAGTAAGTCATCAAGCACCATTGTGGCTGATATACCTGAACCTCTTTAAAAATAAGTCAGGGACTACTAAATATATTTATTTTTCTTCTGGCTATCTTGGTATATAAATGGTTTAAAAACTGAAACACCAAGTTTCAGTGCCTATATGACACGTACAGAATAACTCACTCAGAAGTTCTTGACTTAAATGGACATCAAGTTGTTTTCAGAAATTTTTAGAATTTGTAGTTGCTATTTTTGCACACTTACTTTTTATGGTGTCAGAAAGGAGCTGATAGATTATTTTTTTTAATTCCAAATAATGAATTCAGTGAAACTTGTATACAATTAACTTTTGTTCTAGAATTGGAAAAAGAGGTTGAAGAACTCAAATCAAAGCCAGCTGCTGGAGGAACAGATGATATTATTCAGGTAGGAATATGTGATTGGCTTTTGTAAATTGTAAATTATTTGCATAACCTTTACATACCATTAAAGCTCCTTGTTTGCATCTGTAATGAATATCTAATAAACCTTTTTATTCTGACTGATTCAGGTAAGACCTCATGCCCACAGGACAATTCCTTTATCTGTTAAAATCCTCTTAAAAGTTTCTGTAGTAGGGGATAATTTAGCTCATGTAATTGCTGCAGATTCATGTGCAAATGGTGGAGTTGTTTTATGCCATCCAGCAGTTCAGAAAGAAGGCATTTGTTGCAATGAATGTACTTAAAACTCCCACCTTTGAGTTTAGTGATAAATACAGGTAGGTTGTCAAAAATGGTGTAATTTATGTAGCTACCAAAGTAAAAAGTCAACGTAAGAACCTTTAAAGAATTCAAAATTTGTTTTAATAATTTGATGGGTAAAATTATTTACATGAACCTTACAGCTTTTATTTTCCGGGCATTAAAAACCATAAAGCTTAGTGAAACCAGTTTTCCAGTAAAACAAATCCATTCTACTTGATAGGTTATCTACATTAGATGTTAGCAGTGTGGCTGTTAATGTTTTTCATCTGTACTTTCATCTGAAGGTATTAACTCAAATAGAAGACAAGGGTTACCCCTCCCCCCATTCAGCACTGGGAATAAAACCCCTTGTCTTGGATTTGAGTACAAGGTAGAGTGAAGGCAGGCAGCTGATGTGGCTCAGGCTCTGCCCGCAATCCAGGGTTGGGGTCAGGGTTGGAGGTGCAGCAGCTACCTGTCTCTCCACCTATCCCCAACAGACTTTGCCCCCTAATGCTTGTGCCCCACAGCTTCTGCCATCCCCTTTTCCCCCCTCTTCCTCAATCAGTCATGACTCTGGTCCCATTCTGGCCTAGGGCACAGAGCACAGGGTAGCTCCAGCCACTGGTGTTCTGGTGTTCCCAATGCCAGAGGATGGGGGCCATAGGCTGCAGGAAGGGAGGCAGGCATTGTGGGGGGGAAAGTGGGTGCAGACACTGAAGCGGGAGGGCAGGAGGCGCAGGCGCCACAGTGCGGGGTGCAAGTGCTGGGAGGGTAAGCAGTGGTTGGGGGGTAGGAGGCAAGTCATTATGGGGGGCAGGGGAAGACAAAGGACAAGGGGCGGGGGGCAGACCACCTATCTCCACATGACTTTCCCTGCTGCTGCTGCATTCACTGCTGTAGCAGTGCAGGGATACAAATTTAAGGCACCCCTCCAATAGTTAGATCCTAGTCATGAAAAACTGTAATAAATTTATACTTGGGGGGGTGATCCTAAATTTAAAGCTGTCCTGGAAGCAGACATACATGGTAATTCTTGTATTTGGTATTGTTCTCTTGTACAAAAAAGAAAAAAAAAAAGAAACCTTAAGGCCAGTATCTTGCCTAGCAGAGACTGCTGAGACACTTATTTCTACATTGAGTAATACCTCTTCACACCAGTATTTATTTTTGTCTCAAAATTAGGCTCTCACAGAAAGACTGGATGTTGTTCTTTTGGAAAAAGCTGAAAGCCAGCAGCAGTGTCTCGCTCTGAAAAAAGAAAGTGCCCAAAGGAAACAAGAAGCAGAGGTAATCAAATAAGTAGAAATCATTTTGCTTAAAAGAAAAGTGTGTCAATAATTGTATTGTTTCTTTGTATTAAGTGTTAACTAATACCAGTATTTAATATTAGGAAGCAATAGTATGATTTACTTTCCTTTTAATCCCTTTTTCATTGGCTTATGTTCATAAATAATATTCAAGTTTACATATGTCTAAGTATAATTAGCCATGTGGACTTGTTAAGTTGTTATAGTATTTATTTACAGTATTGAAAGGACTGGCACAAATGGGCACAAGGGACAAATCTTCCAGAAACACAGAAAGAATCAATAGGTATCAGATCTTGAAATATCCTGTCAGCTGTCCCCTCTGCTTTTGCAAGCACTGTTAGTTGCGTTCTAGCCATTGACCGTGATTCTTTCAGCAAACGTTATATTCTTAACGTTTATGTGTCCCTATTTATCTGTACAACTAAAAATTAAAAAATAGACACGCAGATTTCACTTGTTGCAAGTTTAAGATGTTAATGTGTTTCATGTTGTAAGAATAAATGTAATAGGTTACATCTTGTTCTGGTACAGTAATTGCTATCAAGGGCTTATCTTCAATTTCTTTCCAGATTTCCTTGGCCATACATAAAGGATGTGGGGATCAGAGTCGCCAAGTTCATAGTTGTTTAAATTAATAATTTATATTTTTATAATTTTTAATCAATTTAGTGTTAAACTTCCACTCGGCTATTTACAAATAACATGAGTCCAAATGCTTTTTTTTATATAGACTTTTTAAAGTGAGAATATAATATGTGCTAATATTGTTGTATATTTCCCATATCTAAATCTGTCTGTATTTAATGTTTTTTTCAGACTTCTGTAACAAAGATAGAAGAACTGCAGAAGCAATTAGCAGAGTCAAGTGCTGATTACTTGAAAGAAATTGAAGCCCTTAAAACAGAAATAGCAAGATCACAGTTCATATATAATGAAGACCTGACCAGACTACAGAAGGAACTGGAAGAAGAAACAAAGAAACAGAAAGGGCTTATGCAACAGCTTGAACTTTATCGTAACCAGGAAGAAGAAATGAAAAAACTACAAGAAGAGGTCCAGCAAATTAAGCCTGTGTATGAGAAACAGATTTTGCATCTGAACAAAGAGTTAGAAGCTATCAGTGATAATAAAAATAAAGAAATTGCATGTTTGCAAGAAACTATCAAAAGTCATTTTCAGCATTCCCATAGTGAAATAAATAATTTACAGGAAGACCTTATAAAGTTAAAAAATGCACATGAGGAAGAGGTGTCAGAGTTGATGCATCAGCTCGAAACCTCTGCTAAAGAAAATGAAGAAAAGCTAAAACAGATAGATAAGCTAACACAAGATTTGGCAGAACAATTTTTGATAAAAGAGAAGAGCATAAGGGACAATCTACACTGTAGTAACGAGGAGTCTGTGTGTGACCAAGAACACCAAACAGAAGCTCTAAGTAAAAATAAAGAGAATCAAATTAATGTTATAGATACACAAGAGGACCTGTGTGCAGAAACACAAATGGAAGAAAATGTGAGGTGTTTAGAACGTACCTTGAAAGAACTGGAATCTCAACATAGTATATTAAAAGATGAACTAACCTATATGAGTAATGTTAAATTAAAACTGGAAGCGGAAATCCAGCACACAAAGGATGAGTACTTTCATGAGCGAGAAGACTTGGAATTTAAAATTAATGAACTGCAGCTTGCTAAGGAAGACTATTGTGGTTTAATTGAAAAACTAAAATCTGAGCTCCAAGCAACAAAACACCAATGTGAAATCACTGTAAAAGAACATAACTTAGAAATTCAGAATCTGAGAAACGAACATATGAGAGACATGTCTGCACTAAAGGAAACTTTATTATCAAGTTCGGAAAAAGAAAATATGGCATTAGTTTTTGAAATACAGGAGCTTAAGGAACAATATCAAAAGCTCATGCAGGAGAAAGAAGAAGCAGTGTCCAGTTATGAGAGCTTGAGGGAAACGCTGGAAACTCTACAAACAGAATTGGGGGAATCTGCTGGAAAAATCAGCCAGGAGTTTGAGACAATGAGGCAACAACAAGCTTCTGATGTCAGTGAGCTACAACAAAAACTCAGAGCTGCTTTCAATGAGAAGGATGTTCTTCTTGAAACTGTGAATCGTCTCCAGGAGGAGGCAGAAAAATTATCATCAAAACAAACAGAAGTGGAAGAATTTAAGAATAAAATAATCTTGCTTCAAGAGGAGAATGAGTCAGTGATGACCTGTCTCCATCAAAAAGAGGATGCAGTAAAAGAACTGGAAGAAAAGTTGATTGTTCTTGACACTCAGAAAGATGGTATCTTAAATCAAGTGAAGAACTCTGCTGAAGAGATTGAAAACCTTCAAGAAGCATGCAAGAAAGAACAACAAAGGGTTCTGGAACTTCAACAACAAGCAAAAGTTGTTAACCAGTGTAACAGTGAACTGAGAAAAATGGTAGAGGAATTGACGGAGAGCCTAAATGTAGCTTTAATAGAGAAAAATGAGAATAACCACAAGTTAGAGCAATTGGAGGGAAAAACTGAAGCTCTTTTGCTTGACAACAAGAGTCTCTTATCTCAAGCAAGTAGTCTTCAGGAGGAAAATATGCAAGTCAGTAAAGAAAAAGACAGATTAACTAGAGACTTGGAAAAAATTACGTCTGAGAAGGAGGGTTGGTCAGTATTTAAAGAACAAGTGGAAAGTTTAGAAAAGGAACTACAAAAAGCTGTCAATGAAAAAGACCACTTAATGGTACTACTTGAAAGTGAAGAAACACACAAATCCCTTGCCAGAACTCAGCTACACGCTCTGTTTGAGCAATTGGGGTCCACATTTTCAGATTACGATAAAGAATGTGATGCTGTTAATTTATTACAAATTGCAAATGAATACTTGGTGAAAATGAAAGAGGAAGAAAAGAACCTGACTTTACAAAAGGATGAAAAAATTCTTCATTTGCAGCAGGAGATAGGGAGGCTTCAGGAAGAAAATGTTGCTCAGTATTCAGAACTTAGGTCTCTTCTTCAAGATTTTGAACAAGAAAAAGGTCTCTTAAAAGAAGAACTGGAAGGAGCTTTGTCAGAAAAAGAAGCACTTCAGCTGGACATCCAGGAGTTAGAGAGAGCCAGTGAGAAAGCAAGGAATGAAAACCAAGATCTTCTTGTTCACATTGAAGAGATCTTTCAAAAACTTGCTAGTTACGAAAATCAAACCCAAGAGCAGCACAAGGACTCTAGTACAGAAGACCAAGAAAACTTAAATCTCACTCTAGAAAAAAGAGACATTGAACTCAAAAGCGTGAAAGCGGAACTGAACTCTCTAAAGGTTATATTTTTGTTATTGAAGTATGCGGACTAAACTTCTAAAGCCTTATTTGGTAGAATGATTGTTTATTAATCAGTGAGATGGAAGAAATTATCTAATGGGAAGGTTATCTATTCCATCTCTATGATTCTGACTCTATCTTAAATGAGCAAAACTTAAGGTGTGTATTAGATCAGTTATTTCCCCTGCTCTGTTTACAATAACTTCCAGGGCTGCCACAAACTTCCTTATATCCAAAGTTAGTTAGTGTCTGATATTGACCGAGGAATAACAGCTGCACAGAATTACTTGAGCCCTCTTTACTTGCTGTTGACATAATTGGATGGAAAACAGCTGTTGCAAGGATGACTTCTCCTTCCTTTAAAGTTTTTTTTTTGTTTGTTTGTTTGTTTTTAATTATTGAGGAAACACACCTTTTTCTTGTTGTTCACGTAGAAATTGACTAAATTTTGGCTTTTAACTTTATTTTTAATTGGCTGCTTAATATGTCTTGCTGAAAAATAGCAGACACCACAAATGCTTGTATGCTTGTAATATATCATTTACCTTTGTTTACGATACAGGACTTAGTGGAGAAGTTGACTATGAAAAATGACCAACAGTCTTCAGTAGCAGAGCTTCAAGAAAAAATTGGTACAACTTATGGCCTTCAATTTAATCAGTTTTAATTTTTAAACTTACTTGAAAATCTTGCCTCCTTTTCCTCTGCGTCAACACAATTCATCTTTCATCTTTAACTTGTTTATGGACGTAAACGATTGCTTTCTTTATATCCAAAAAGAAGGCTAAATAATGCTGATGTCTGTTACCAATATCAGTACTTTTTCTAAAATACCCAGTTTCTTTATATCACTGGTTATGCATGACTGACTACAGCTTGCATAACTCTACAATTCAGGAGGGAGGATCTACTACTATTATGAATTGGTAACCGTTATAGTACCACTGAACAGTTTACTTCTAGATTTTTTTAAAAAGTAAAGCTAGGCTCCCATGGCATTCTAATAGCCTTGTTGTAAAAGACTAGACCTAGGTGGAAATGAAACAATACTATTGAGTTTCACGGGAGGGTTGTAACCTAAATAATGGGTTTCTTATGGAATATTTTAGAATCTAAAGTACTTATAATAGAAGTTCTTTTTAGTTTACTGTCTCTTCCATTTGGAAATAAGCAAAATGGCCATATACATTGATGGCTAGTAAAATTATATTAGCAAATCACTTATACATATCAGGGAACAGACAAAGCATTAAAAAAATCAGCAAATGTTAGTGGCTGGCTTCATTGCTTACGAGGTATTATTCTATTCTGGAGTCTTGGGTTTCATTTACCCCTCCTAGTTTTAATTGCTGTGGATGCCATTTGATCATATGAAGCCTAGGGGTAACTGCCTCTGGTCAAGCACCCTTTTGTTCCCTTTTCTTAAACTGGGAAATAGTTGTACAGTTTGGAGTCCTTAGAACTGATTCAAGAAGAGCCACCACACCCTTACTGTAGAAATATGCATTGGAAATGACCAAGGCAATTATCCTAAAATGGTTGAGAAGATGTGATACCAAATTGAAAAAAAAGTGAATTACAGAATGAGGTGAGAACATGAGTTTTGGCTTTCAAACAAAGCTTTCAAGAGCTTGACTGAATGAAGTGTTTGAGGGTATGTCTATCGCAAGGCAGTGCTGCGTAGAAATACCTGGGTCAGCGCTGCAAAACAGCTATATTAGCACAGTGTTGCAGTGAGCTGTTAATCCTTACTCCTTGTTAGCCCAAACAACACCGTGCTATTGTTCTAGAGTTACTGTACACACAGAGCTAACTTGAGGTATCTCTGGGTAGTGCTGCCTTGCACTGTATAGACATACTACAGATGTCTTCCAGTTTTTCACTGATATTGAATGCTTATCATTCTTTTTATGAAGGACCTTTTAAATACACATACATATTTTATTCTGTTGCTTAGATGAACTGTTTTCTTTGGTTTTAGTAAAGCTGGAAAGGGAATCTACAGAGAGAAAAGAAAAGTTAAACAAAATTAAAATGGTTGCTGTGAAAGCAAAGAAAGAACTAGATTCTAGCAGAAAAGAGGTAATTTTTTGAGACCTTAATTTGAAGAGTTTTCTGATGCACAACAAGGTTCTATTATGGCATAATTCTGTATTCCTTATAATAAGGTCCAGGGTCTTAGAGAAGAATTAGAATTGGTACGATCAGAGAAAGATCAGTTACCTGCTTCTATGAAGGATATCATTCAAGGAGCTGAAAGCTATAAGGTAAGTTGTACTGTATTTTCAAAAATACAGATTTATCAGAAAATATTCTTTTTGATTATAAGACTGTAGTCCTAACTCCATTTTCTGTCTAACTCTTAATTGTATAATACTCAGACTACCAGTTTTCCATGTATGATTACAACATTCTTCCTCCCTTGTTTTAAACTGTTGTGATGTGTTGTCAGTATTGCCTGTTTCATCTGAGAAGTAACTGTTCTTTAGTTATGGGTAAAACTATTCCTGTCAGCTATATAGAATATAAACACATATATATACACCTTAATTTTTTACTGTATTTCTTACTTGCAAGTAGTGTGGTCTTTTTACTGTAGGGCATCTAAACAATATATATTTTTAAAACAGCAAGAGTTTCCATTATAAACTTAAAAAAAATACTGACTTTTATATTGAAAAGTTCCATGATCAGTATCTGCCCAGCAAAGATATTTGTTTTACAAAGAAAGTCTTTCGGCTTAAATTGATCAGCACGAAAAAAAAATTATTTGCATGAGAATTTTATGTAAAAAGAAAATCTACCCATACCTTTTGAAATGTGGACTTGGTGCACATTCTGGACTTGTAAAGTTGTAACATGGGACATGGAATGTTCAGAAATGTATTTTCTCATTAGGAACCTGAATAGCATCAGTTGACATTCTTTCTAACACAACCAGAGAGGTCAAACAGGGATAAGTAATATTGGGAACACTTTCACAAGATAAATTCTTTCCTGGAAACATCAGATCCTCTCTAAAATTTGCCTTTAACATCATCAACTTTTCTAATAAAATATTGATATAATAGAGTTATTTTTTTAAAGTTCTACCAGTCAATGTCAGCAAAAATGGGAATTCTTTTCTCACCCAATCAATCTGAAATGTAAATTTCAAGGTTAATTAGAACCTTTGGATTCTGGTGTTAAGCTTAGCTAAAGAAAACAAGGCTTTAAATGTGGAAAGGCCTTGTGCTAATGCAGTTAATTTAAGGTTCCAACTGTGTGCCTTTGCCCCCATGGCCAAAAGAAAACAAGTTCTCTTAGTGACCTGCCATTTAAGAAGGACGCATGAAGTTACATTCACAACATATTTTATTTAACGGTTACATACTCCAAAAACAGACCTCACCTCAGTCAAATCCTTCAATTGTACATGTCACTAGGTAAAACAGCATAAATCTACCAAGGAAAACTTTATAAGTTTGTTTCTACCAGAACCTTGAATGGAAATACAACTTTAATTTACCATTAGTATTTCTCAGTGTGTCTACATGTGCTTAACTGTGCACTAAACTAATTTACTTCAGTGTAAAGTGTCACAGTCTACACATGATGCTGTTAGACAGCAGCAACCTTATTTTCATTGCTGTGAGAGAGTACTGTCCCTGGCAGTATTATCTTACGGGGATGAAAATAACTGAACCTAAACACACAGGCTCAGGTGTAAATTGCACCCAGACAGCAGGGTGCCAGACCCCTCCTGCTGTCTAGTCACCCAGCTCTGTTCTTTGGGCACTCTTGTGCCCCAGCTGGCCCCTCTGCTGCCCAAGGCTGCAACCCGGAGCCCAGGGTTGACTCCCTGAGCCTGCTACCAGCCCAGGGCTGCTCCGCCCCGGCTCAAACTGTTGCGGTCCCGGGTGCATGTATAGATGCTGTGTCTGGGAGCTGTTAACTCTGGCACAAACTGTGCCAAAGTTAATCATGGTGCATTAATTGAACATGTAGATGCACCCTCTGATATCACAATAAGAGATGCAAGATACTAAACAGCAAAAAGTAAAAGTGTAGTTTACACTTTTTATTACAAGTGAGTCATAGTTTTCTATGTTTTTAACAACATTTCAAGTGTGTTTTTTTTTTGTTTCAAGAATCTCCTATTGGAATATGATAAGCAAGCAGAACAACTGGATTCTGAAAAGGATCGAGCAAATAACCTTGAACGTCAGATAGATGACATTACAAGACAATTCCAAACATCAGCTCAGCAGGTAAATTATATTGTACTTGAGCAGTTAATGGTTACAATAAATGGAGTTGATTTTGTGTCACCGGTTTAATACAGCGGTGCTTATGTTAAATATCCCCCTAATTTTCATAATCCCGCTTCTGCTTTGATAGTTTTGCTCAAAAGTTGTTTTTAACGAGATAGATGTTATGCTATTTGCAATATTTGGATTGGGAAAATAATTAAAACAACAGGAATAAGAACAGTGTTTGGATATCTCTGAGTCTCAAATATCTAGTGTTCTGGAATGTGCAGTAGTTGTCATAGCCAAGAATTGCAGAAACTTGAAATTAAGTGCATTTGAGCAGACAGAAAATATTGCTATTCCACACTGACTGCAGTAATAAGTGGTAAAGTCCTCTATAATAGATAAGCGGTAGGGCTGTGCGAAATGGCTGTTTTGTTTCCATTCTGGATTCTGCTGTTTCAGAGGAACAGTGATTCATTTCGGATCAGTGTTCCGTTTTGATTTGGCTGAATCTGTTCTGGAATTTTGAGGCTGTTTCAGTGCTGATTCAGATAGGGCATGGAAAGGAAGGCGCAGCCGGGCAGCTGCAGGTTCTCCCACAACCCCTTCGGCTGTGCCTGCCTTTCCCCAGGTTGGGGGAGCCACAGGAGAAGCCCCCGTGGCTGCCCTGCCCACCACCATCCCCCTCCTGGCACTTAAAAAAAAAAAACCAAAAAAAAAACCCCACACTCACTGGCTGCAGCAACAGTGATCGGGGCCTCTGGGGGCTCATGGCAGAGCTGTAGCATGGGGCAGTTTGGGGCAGCCGGGATTGCCCCCACCTCTGCCTGGCATGTGCACAGCAGCTGCCCCATGGTGCAGGTGCAGCACAGCTTGGTACAGAGCTGCACACTGTCTGGGAGCTGAAGCCATTGAGGTTGAGCACTGCGGGCTCTGGCTTGCAGGTAGAGTCACCCCAGCTCCCAAACAGTGTGCGGCACCCTGCCAAGACGCGCTGCACCCACACAATGCAACAGCTGCCGTACGGGTGCCAAGCCGGTGGGTGATCTGCACTGTCCCCCCTGCTGCTTTGTGCTACCACGAGCCCTCAATTCCCTGATTGCTGCTGCTCCAGCCAGTGAGTGCAGAGGTTTTTTGTTTTTTGGTGCCAAGAGGCTGGGGCCAGGCAGGGTAGTCATGGGGGCTTCTCCTGCAGCTCCGCCAGCTGTGCCTGCCTCTGCCCTGGCGGGGCGAGCTGCAGGAGAAGCCCCCATGGTTGCCCTGCCCAGCCCCAGCCTCCCAGCACTTTAAAAGGAGGGCTGCGGGGCTGTGCCGGACTCCTCCCGGGAGGCTGGGCCCCCAGATCTGTGTGTGGGATAACAACAGGCTGCCATTCCTCTCCCAGAGCACTGGGATTGGAAGGGATCTGAGTGACAGATCACAGCCACTGGCCAGCTACAGATGTCAACTGAACTCCAACTAGCTTTGAGCATCAAGGACAATAAGAAGTCCTTTTTGAGATATGAGGGGAGCTGGAGGAAAAGCAATGGCAACATTGGACCCCTGCTGAACCATATGGGGCAACTGACAACTG